TGACTATTTTCAATGAAACATTGGCACCCTGTTAAGGTATTTGGCCTCTCCTGTTTACATCTGGCAAATGATAAAAATACCTCTCTTCTTCAGGGGAAAACGCAGAAAATTAAACAAACTGATTAGAGACAGTGTGGCCAAAGCAAGCAGAGAAACAATGTATCTGTTGCTCTAAATAATAATAAAGACTCACTTTTTAAATACCGGGTCATGGAACTTAATAGACAGCAAAATGACCTCCAGAGAATGGGAGAGGTTTGCTGCAAGCAAGGTAACAAAAGTCAAGAAAACAAATAATAATCTGATTTGGAGAAAATAAAAGACAGGTTTTGGCAAGCAGGGTTGGGAACATTGGACTAACACTTGCATTTTTTTACAACTAATTCAAACTAAGGGTGCGTACAAGTTTGACTTCTTTCAGCTAACCGTGGTTATTACTAACCAGTTTGTTAGTCTAAAACAGCATGAGACCACAATCCCAAGGTGATCTGCGAATTCACTCTTTGTATTTTCACTGATTCTGATTTTACAGCAGTGGTCATAGGCATAAGACTATGCAAATGTTTACATGTTCAGTTTCTAGGTAAAATGTGGGATAAATTCTCATCCAGTTTTGAGAAGCTTTCCTGTTCAACTGCCTGGAGGTGACCCCATCAGAAGACAGTAGCTATTACATGTCTGTTCTTGTAAATAATCAATAGAAATCATTTTCACATTTTCACTGGTCATAGAGCAAAATTTTCCCCCTAACATCTTATACACAGGGCAATGCAGAGTTACAGTCACTTCCTACAGAACCATCAAACTAAACACATTGAATGACTAAAGCTGAGGAGGGAAACAAAATCCCTTTTTAGTTCTTAAGCTTCTGAGACCCATTGCCAAAATAATTTCATATATCAGGATGGTTTTGAGTGCAGGAGATTAGTTGCAAAGTCTCAGCCCTGGCAGATGTTTTTGACTGTTCATTAGAACTGTCTCTTTTACCCTTCTATTTTGTTTTGTTTTTTTCTTTTGCAGAAATAAATTTAACAAAATCAAAATGTATATTTAATTTCTATATCACAAGTAGTTTCCCCTTGCATATATTAATAGAATGTTAAACAAAGGCTGTATATCAGCAAACAATTCCTTCCAACAATTTTTAAATGGGAAAAGGTGTGAAATCCAATGAGAATTTATAGAAATGCATTCTTTAGAAAGCTGACACACTTTCCCTAGCATATTAGATTTACAACACATGCCAAATCATGGTTTATTATTTACACTCTAGGATTTCTGATGCACATTCTAGAATATCTATGCCTGATGTTTAGAATCATAAATGTATTTTATTTGGTGTAGCTGTTGCTTCAGATAGTTTCTTGTTGATATCATAATGACAAAATACTTCAGAATTACTTTAAATTCTAACAGCAGATTTCCTAGTCTATTTGGGCTATCTGCTACCACGTTAATTAGAGTTGGGGATTGTTGCTAACAGAGAATTCTATAGAAAACTCATGCAGGCAAAAGGAAGGGAATATAGCATACATAAGTAATGATGATTTGGAAAGGTCAAAATTACAGACAGAGATATGTGTTCATTTCATTTCAATCATGTTTTTCACATGCTCCTTGACAGCCCTTTATCTATATCTTTGTATTATTAAAATATTTGTTCATATTGTAGATCTACCATTTTATTCTATACATATTGTGTATGGGGTTGTTTGGGGTGGATTGGTACCTCTGGTGGTGGACACATGTGCTCCTTCAAGGGTAGTTTGTTGGGATTAATTGGGATTAAGGTATTTTCTCAGGACAGTGGAGGGTGGGGGTGCTCTGTCCTGTTGGTGTGGTGGCATTCACCCTTCTTCTAGGAAATGCTCTAGAATGCCAGTGTGGTGTAGTGGTTAAGAGCGGTAGTCTCGTAATCTGGGGAACCGGGTTCGCGTCTCCGCTCGTCCGCCTGCAGCTGCTGGTGACCTTGGGCTAGTCACACTTCTCTCGTCTCTCAGCCTCACTCACCTCACAGAGTGTTTGTTGTGGGGGAGGAAGGGAAAGGAGAATGTTAGCCGCTTTGAGACTCCTTAAAGGGAGTGAAAGGCGGGATATCAAATCCAAACTCTTCTTCTTCTTCTTCTGCTCTGTGGCGAGGGGGAGAAAAAATTGTGTGTGGGGGGGTTAGGAGGGTCAGTTGAGGGAAGTGAAGGATGTTGGAGGGTATGGGATGCTGGCAGCTTCTCCCTCCCTCTCACTTTCGAGACGTACCTGGTTCAAGCAAAATCTATCCAACTGAAATTCGGCTTGGTGTGGTCTGCGCTCTGTTACTATTACCTTCAGTTACAAAGTCAAAATCTCCTGTTTAAGAGGGCACAGCATCTACTAGTTCCCTGCAAAGGAAACCAGTAAAATGGTCCAATTCTGTGCCCGAAGACATTCAGTTCCACATCCCTGTAAACAGTGTTCATTGTGATCTGGCAACAGAGAATGACGGAGGGGAAGAAAGCCTATTTTTCAGCAGTGAGAGATGTCCATTTCTTTCATATTCAAATAATGAACCCTAATGATTAATGACTTTAGACAGCAAGGCAGTAATCCTGAAACAGGAGAGTGTGGTGCAGTGGTTTGAGAATGTGGTTTGGACGAGGACTTGGGAGACCAGGGTTCAAATCCCTGCTCAGCCATGAAGTGGGGGGGGGGGGGAGAACCACATATGCTACCTTGAGCTTATCTATCTATCTATCTATCTATCTATCTATCTATCTATCTATATCTATCTCTATCATCTATCTATCTATCTATCATCTATCTATCCATCCATATCCTGCTATTTCCCCCTTCCTCCTGACGTGAAAGCTAACTTAATCATCCTCCAATGTATACTAAATAGACCTGTGATGCTTCTTTTTCTGAACTATTTCCAAACTTTTCGCTGTAAGAACATTTCACACTGTTGCCATTCACGTCCGAAGCATCAAAACATGGAATTACTTATCAAAGCTTCTTTGGGGAAAATCTTCACTCTTCCAAAGCTAATTCAACCCTTCCTTCCTCTGCTTCAGTTGCTGCAATTTATTATTCCCATTCAGCTAAAACAATTCCTCTCTTACTACCCGTGCAGCTAATAGCTATTAGTAGTTGGTAACTAGGTTGCTATTGACAAGTCACGATTTCTTTAGACTGCCTCTGCCCCGCCCTAGAATGGGCATCCGCTTTTATCAGTGTTTACTTCTCTTCACCTGGTGCTGATGCCTAGGATTTCTGTAAGAAACTAAAAAAATAAAAGAGCAGACTGGTCTTCCCACACATGTCCCACGTGAACACACGTACTGGGAGATCTAGACCACGCCCACCAGCCCCACCTCTGCCTTCACGCATGCACAGGTTCTGTACATGTGACGGGGACACTTGCAAAACAGGGGTGCAGTCTCATGGACAGTTTGTATGCATGTGGACACTTTTCAAAAGCAGTGAGAAACGAGCATAGGCAGGGCTAGCATGTAAAAAACAACAACAACTTGTTCTCTCTATGCACAAGTAATATATGGCATGTGGATAATGGCAGGAGACCTCAAAATGTATTCGGTACTGCATGCATCTCTTTCCAACAATAAATCATACACAGCAGATTTCTCAAGGGTATATTATGAATACCCCCACAATTACGAGATGGAAACATTAGATGAACACAGATCGGTTTGATTAAATTGCTAGAAGTGTATTTCCTTCAGAATTCCAGTGACACTTTAAAGAGAAGTAGTCATTAGCAGAAAGAAATTACTTTATTTTAATTAAAGTAAAGCTTCGTAAACAATCCAAGCAATTGGAAAATGCATGAGCTCCAATGACAATAAATTTATAGGCTCAATTGCCAAGACTTTGCTTTTGCTTTGTCTCCCTTACTGAACATCCATCCGTCTTTTTATGTTCAGCTTTGACAAAATTAAAAATGTTCATATCCATTTAAATAAATGAGGCTTCCTCATCACGAAGTTAAAAACCACCGTATTTAATGGGAAATCGGTACATTAAGTTTGCAATTGTATTCCTTATCTGGGACCAATCCCCACTGAAGTCAATGGGACCTGCTTCTGAGTAAATAGGTACAAAATTGCACTGTTGATGTAGGTGGAGGGAATTTGTGAGACTACAGCTCCCATCATCCCTTACCAATGGCCTTGTTGGCAGGGGCTGATGGGAACTGGAGACCAATAACACCTAAAGGCCACAGGGGTCCCACCTATGTTCTGTGGTTTAGCTCTGCGTCTACGGTCACATATTGAGCCTGACCAGAGGTATGGTGATCAACCAAAAGAAACCAAATCATCACCCAAGAGCAAATTGATACATAAAAAGAATAAATCAGTAATGAAAAGAAAAACATTCAGGAATATTAGTAGGTATTATGATGACCCAACTCCAGAAGGCAATTTATATTATATCTGGCATGGCAGCCCTGTCAAATAAAAAATAGCAAACTGAAGCTAGTGACTCTGGAGGTATTCAGATCCCTTCTAAAGTGAAGCAGATCTTCCCCAAAGTGGTCTGAAGTTCAATGGGCTCGTCCCAGCTTCTAGATTCATTTATAGCTTTTAAATCATTGGGGCATCTGTGAAAACCACAAACCACTTAGAAGCCTATTCTGGCAATAAGCACTCTATATGAATAAATAAAGCATACCTTTCAGAGCTCACACTATCAGCTTTCAGAGGTTTTATTCCCAACCCAATTCCATGCTGTCTTCATGGCTGACCACTCTGTCTCAACTGACTTGTTGGGAGATAATAACGGATCCTCTGAAAATGGAATCCCACCTGCCAGCAAGCATCCAGGGACCTATGGGCTGGACCTCCCCACACATATGTTTTTGGAAGTGCATCCCCACTGCCAAAGTTGACAAAAGCAGTAGATCTGTTTAGCTGCATACAGCACCCCACCATTCCTGCCAAGGATCCAGTTGCCGCCAGATGGGGAAGGAAGTGGGAAAGGGCTGTTATGCAGCCATTTTTAGACGTGCAGCTCCTAATCCCTAATCCTGTGGGTCAGTGCATCTGGCTGTAAACCAGAAGGTTGGTGGTTTGAGCCCACCCAGGGACGGCTGTGGACAGGATTCCTGCATTGCAGAGGTTGGGCTACAGGGCCCTTGCAGTCCCTTTCAACTCTATGATTCTATTATTCTCTTCCCAGGAAAGCAAATTTCTTTATTGACTTGCATGTGAAAAATGGCTGGGGGAGTGTTCAGCTTTCACACAGCCATTCTTCAGGAGCATGCAGTCTTTATTTTCCCATTGGCTTGCCTAGGAAGGAAGATGTCTGAAGCTTTGGGAAACCAAGGCCAGTCTCTTGCTCGGATCTGCCTCAAAGCAAAGCTGGCCCAAAGCAGGCTGAAGTAAAGCAGCCCCCATCCAAAGCAATTCCCCCCTGTATCTATGGGATCCAGCAGCAGCCCTAACATCCCCTTCACTGTGTCCAGAACAATGGCACAGAAGTGGTGTGAGGCTCTTAATCACTCTATCTAACCATTACCACATGAACTGTTCAATTGCCATTCTTATTCATAACTCTTTCTCCATTTCCAGGAATCTTAGGTGCATTAGTTAGTCTAATTAAAAGGCAAGCCAACAAATGAAATCACCCTGCCCTCCCCGCGGTGCTCCATAAACCTGTATTTAAAAGAGTGCCAAATGATTTATCTCATCAGAAATCATCAGAGAGAACTATTAAGGAGGGACGTTCCTGCTTCTAGCTGAAGTCATCCGGAAAGCTGACAGCGGAAATAAAAATTATTCAGTGTGACAAATCATTGAGCAAGATCCAGCCACAGTTAACACTCTGATGCCCCATTGACTTCTAAGGGTTTAACTCTCTTCCACTAAAATCCAGTGGACTCTGAGGCCTTGTACATATTAACGTTCACTCCACTGCTGGTGTCTGAAGTGACACATGGCATTAACTACAATCCATCTATATCAAGGGTCAACAAGGTTTACCTTGCCTGGGCCAGTTCACTCCAGCGGAGATCCCTCCGTGTGCAATTTCCGGCGCCTGTGCAGACGCAATTTCCGGCATCTGTGCATGCGCGTGCACAATTCTGGTGCCTGCGCAGATGCAATTTCTGGCATCTGCGTCTGCACAGATGCGATTTCCGGCACTGCGGAAGTTGCTTGTGTCGCGTGTCGCGCTGTGCGAGTTTAGCGCGGTGCGTGGGGACTCGCCGAGCGGGCGGCTCGGTTTGGGGGCGGCTCGTAGGCTGGTTAAACGACTCCTGTGCGCCACTTGTGGCCCATGGGCCCTAGGTTGCCTACCCCTGATCTATATCCTATAGCTTCTTGAGAAATGCTTCTGTGTGATGTGTTTTCCCTCAGGCCAGCTTACATCCAATCTGAAAACACAGGCCTCAGTTAAGCTGAGGTGTGTACAGTTTAGATAGCCATTGTGCAAATGAAGAGGAGTTTAGGGTGGGAGGGGAAAACAAATCAGGTAATGCATATTGGGTGAAGATAACCTCACAACATTTTAAGCTCCTCATGTGTCCATAGCATGAAACACATGACTGGATCATGCAGTTTAACTTACAATCCTCTCTCACACATTATTATCCACAATAAGCAAGTTTCAGATAAGGTTTAAACTTGGACTGCTTAGGTAAGTTTAGAACCATCACCAAGAATGGTTGCCAAATCCTGCAAATCATGCACCAACCTTCTAACTCCAAAAGTTAACAAAAACAGAGTTGTTATCCAACATTCAATAAATATCTTTGTCTTTCAGCTCAAGGAACAAGAGGTTCACTGCTGGTCTTGGCTTATTATGGGCCTTCCCGTACTTTATAGTGGAATAGTTGCTGGTGGGTTCTCTTCCAGATTTTATGACATGTTGCTACACGATATCAGCACCATATAAGCTAGTATTCTAGAATAATGTACTTAAATGTACTAAATGTATTAAAAATCCCACTTTGTTTTTTTCCTGATGTTTGTGAAAGATCAGTTGTGGATCCTCAATATTTTCATTTGTGAGGCATGTGTACAAACATTGCTAGTTTCTTTGTAACCGCCACCTGAGCTGCTATCAGTCAAGCGCAGGTAATGCTATGTTATACTACCCTAGTATGGTAGAGAACAGTTTCCTATGCTTTCTCCAGTTCCTCAAATCCAGGTTTTACAGCATCTTGAACTTTGTTGCTGTTACCTTCGCAGAGCAGCTCTTTTATGTAATGTGTGAATAATGAGTAATGTGTGAATAGACTGCTAGATCATCTACCATGGTGTGTGGCGGTCATAACCATCACTGCAAATTGCAGGTGCTGGTGATACTTATCTAAAGTGTCCAGCACCTTCTGTGTGTTATGTAACCATGCAGTCTATGCTGTGGGTGGACGGACCAGCCTCATTCCATCCAGTTTTGGTCTCACTGGTGCTCAACCATAAATCCAATTTTGAAAGAATGCACAAAAAGTATGCATCTAAAGAGCAAACATTATTGACATAAAATGGGCACTTTTCAATGCATTTGTCTGTATACAAGTCATCTTGTATGACACACACACACACACACACACACACACATTTGTGTCTACTTTTTGTTTGCCAAGACTGCACTGAAAAATCCAGAGAAGTGTACAATTCCAACTGGAAGTTGAATTCCAGTCCACAAGCAAGTTTGGGGCAAAGCCTATAGGGACCATGATGACAACAAATGGATGCAAAATACAGAAATACAACAGAGACAACCAGCCCCACCCACCAAATATACAAGGTTGCATTTATAGACAGTAGCAGCACCCTCACTCATAGAATCACAGTTGGAAGGCTCATCTAGTCCAACCTCCTGCAGTGCGGGAATCTCCTGGTGCTCTCTCTCCAAACTTAAGCTCACATCGAAAGGTGGGGACAAGATTACAAACTCCCCCCCCTACAACTCTCTGCTCTCCCCAGAAGCATCCACAATCACTCCTTCCCGGGGTCCATAAAGGAAAAAGGAGTGGGGGTTCCCTCTGTGCTTCCCAGAAGTATGATCTGCAATGCCACTTCTTTGACATTCATGAACACAAAAATTCATTTATATAAACCAAATATGAAAATGCTGGCTGGAAATATTCAGAAGTCCTCTCTGTTTCGGTTCTCCCATTACAGTATGTGGGGATAACGCAAAGACTGATAAAACGGTTCCAGTGTAAACAGCCTTTTGAGTTGCCCCTTCAGAAATATGACTGTTGAAAGTGAAATAATCAAGATTTTGAAAACCAGATTAATAACCTGCAGGACTTGGAAGGGTTTTCTAGGCAAGATTTAACTATGCTGGCATGTCCAAGCCATAAGAAGATATGAATCTTGAGTTTCCAAAGTAGGGAATGGTTCTTTAGTATAAGCAGTGTAGTGTATATGTTTATTGGGTTAAAGCTTGGTTAAATAACTTTCATAAGCCTCAAGAATTAAGGACTAATAAAAATTAGTTACTTGTAGTCAGCATGCAGCCAAGTGGACAGTAAAGTGTATACCGTATACTTTGTGGCGGACAGCCATGGCTGGCTTGAAACCAGGTTCTCTATACATCAATAAGCTGCAATTACATTTATTGCCTTATAAAGATGTATTCTTGTGTTTATTCTGAAATGCTGAGAGCGTAAGTACTATTGAAAGGCTTTTTTAAAAAAGCACACTGACCTCACAACCACCACCACCAATTCTGTGGCTTTAAGGCAGGCTGGGGAGAACCAAGATTAACAAGGTATACTGCAGGCAGCTTTTAATTCTGTGGGCACTTGGAGGATGACTTTCAAGTCTTAAAATTTGAATCATATCAAATTGTGGACCCTGGAGCTGTTCTGCAGGAAATGAAAGCAGGTTTGCGTGATGTGATGCCTTTAAGTCTGTGAACGAAAGACTTTGGCAAACGTGAAATATAGCACAAGCAACTCTACAACTGCTCTGAAACATCTCACTTTATATTGGGGAACCAAGCGCCATGTTTGTATCAGCATTCATACGGAGCTTTGGTGTGATCAAAGTCTTTCATATTCACCTTTTTATCTGGGTATTTCCCAGCCTTTACTGCTGGGCCCTGAAATCTATATATTATTATGAGTTTGGTGGGGAGACAGTAGGCAGTATGCAAGATACACCTAACTGCTGGATTCAGCAAGTGTTAAAATATAAGCCAGGCTAGATTTCTGTGTTGAGGTGATCGCCTGGTGATGGGCTGTTAAGGGAAACAAAGGGAATGGTTTCTGTGTGAGACGGCAAATGGGTCGGGCCCCTCCCCCAGCTCACAGTTAGTTAGGAGGACAAAGCCTGTGTTCAGTTGCAGTGATGTGGGCTAGAAGCCGAGCAGTAAGCATAGAGAGACTGCCATGCCAGATCTCCACTTGAATCCAAGGCTGTGGCTATGGAAGAAACAAGACACTTTCTGGGTGTTAATGCTGTAAACCCCTCCATAATAGACTCAGGTTGTAAAGGTAAAGGACCCCTGACAGTTAAGTCCAGTCGCAGACGACTCTGGGATTGCGGCGCTCATCTCACTTTACTGACCAAGGGAGCCAACATTTGTCCGCAGACAGTTTTTCCGGGTCATGGGGCCAGCATGACTAAGCCGCTTCTTCAGGTTGTATATGTGTGTAAATAAACCATATAGCCTAAAGACACCACAATCTTTGCTGTGCCTCAGAGCATCAACCCTGGGTAATAGCCTGGAACCCCTAGAATTTTGCAACACTTGGAGATTGGGGTGGCATGCAACAATATATTTTTTAACTGTTGCCTGATATATAGTGGTACCTCTGGTTACGTACTTAATTCGTTCTGGAGGTCCGTTCTTAACCTGAAACTGTTCTTAACCTGAAGCACCACTTTAGCTAATGGGGCGTCCCGCTGCTGCCGCACAATTTCTGTTCTCATCCTGAAGCAAAGTTCTTAACCCAAGGTACTATTTCTGGGTTAGCGGAGTCTGTAACCTGAAGTGTATGTAACCTGAAGCGTATGTAACCCGAGGTTCCACTGTATGTCTGCATCATCATACATTTTACAGTAACTTTTATATTAGGGGTGGGTTAATACTTCTGGCTGGTGGACCACATCATTATCTCTCCACCAACACTA